GGGGGGGGGGGTGTGACCCCATTTGGGGTGACTGAAACTGCAACCACGGGGGCAGCAAAAGGGGAAGGAGCGCTTCCTGTGCCTGCGCTGTGGGAACGGCCCCGATGGGCGCATCCCAGGGACGCACGCAGGCAGGGTGGTGGCACACGGGGTCCCTTTGTCCTGGGCCCAAAGCACAGTGACCCTTGTAGGGCCTCGTCCCAGTGCCATAAGGGACAGCGGCACATGGGGGACGGTGCCATGCGGGGGTTGTGCCTATGGGTCCCTTCGTCCTGGGTCTGGGGCTCAGCACCCCCCATAGGGCCGTGCCCCAGTGCCATAAGGGATGGGGGCACGCGGGCGATGTGCCGGTGGGTCCATAATGGGGATGGTGACACAAGGGGGACAGTGGCACGTGGGATGTGTCCATAGGTCCCTTTGTCCTGCGTCTGGGGCACAGCATCCCTTTAGGACCCAGTGGGACGTGGGGTCCCTTTGTCGCCAGGCTGGGGCTCAGCATCACTTATGGGGCCACGGTTTGCACCTCCCTGCATCCCCATCACACCGGGCGATGGCAGCAGGTGATGGGAAACCCCTTTACTCCTCCATCGCATCCCCAGCCCCAGAGGGGTTGGATGGTGATGCAGTGGGACAGCAGCGTCCCTCACCCCCCGCGACCCCAAAGCTGCGCTTGAGGTGGGCGCAGGACCCTGTGGATGCTGCGCACCCCCCACAGAGCCCCCCCACGGCTCCATCCCGCTGGGAAATTTGGGATAACGTAGGGAAAGGGCTGGAAAAGGGCCGGAATGGCACGAGGGCACAGAGCAGGATGGGGCCGATGCGCGGGAGGAAGGGAGGCAGCGCAGGGCCGTGTGCTCAGCAATAGGAAATGCTTTATGAGCCGAGAGCGGTGGAGCAGAGCCAGGCAGGAAGAGGCAGCGAGGAGGAACAGTTTTTGGTGACTTCTCCCACATCCCGAACACAGAGCGTTCGCAGTGGGGCCGGGACGGGGCTGAGCCGTGTGGGGGGCGCAGAGGCGACCCTATGAGGATCTGTGGGGTGTGGGGTAACGGTGCCGGCATCCCCGGCTGAGCGCGGCGTCGGGATGCGGGATCCGGAGCTGGGAATCGTCCCCAGATGCTGTAGGTGAGTGCCGGGGGGTTTGGGGTGCTGGTGGGTCTATGGGGCCACTGGGTGCCATCCTACAGCCCCCAGCCCACCCTGTATCCCTATAGGTGAGTGCTGGGGGGTTTGAGGCAGCCACGGGAATGGGTCTGTGGCCCCATGTGGGTCTGTGGGGACGCTGGGTGCGGTCCCACAGCCCACCGTCCACCCTACGTCCCTGTAGGTGTGTGCTGGGGGGTTTGGGGTGTCCTGCGGGATGCTGTGGGTCACTGGGTGCCACCCTACAGCCCCCAGCCCACCCTACACCCTCATTTTCTTCCCGCAGAGCTTCCATTTCATTTCGCACCGGGGGTTACCCAAAGCAGCTCCAGATCTGGGGGCTGTGAGGGGATTTAGGAAGGGTTTCAGCTGCTTTTCCCGATGGGTTTTCAGCAGAATCAGGATCTGGCCCCATTCCTGCTGCACCCCATGACAGTGGGGTTCATGGCGGGGTGGCAGAGGATGGATTTGGGCGAGCGGGGATTCGTGGTTGTGGATCTGTTTCCAACTGGGATGAGGTGCAGGGAGAGGGCAAACAGGGGCTGAGGGCGCGAGCAGAGCGGAGCATGGAGTGCGCAGCGCTGGGAGCTGCTGCCTGCAAGGACAGGCGTGCAGGGGGAGGCGTGCAGGAGGTGGGCGCAGGGAGAGCTGTGCAGGGAGATGTGAGCAAGGAGCGGCGTGTAAGGAGATGAGTGCGACTGGAGGGGGGCAAGGAGAGGTCTGTGCAAGGGGGGGAGCGCGAGGGCAAGAAGATGCGTGCAAGGAGAGGGGCGCAAGGAGCCGCACGAAGCCACTGGAGGTGTGCAAGGGGAAGCGTGCAAACCTCGCACGCCTGGCGAGGCGACCGAGCTGCGTTTGCAGCTGTTGGTGCAGCGGCTGCACCGTTGTCCCCAGCTCTGCGCTCCCGGAGCAGCTCCTGCAGGGCGCAATGGGACGCACTGAGCTCGGCTCGCCGCTTCCTCTCCGCCAGCGCCGACAAAGCGATCTATTTTGGGGAGGAAAGGCCCTTCTGGAGCGGTGCTTTGCGTGACCGCCTCTCCCCATCAAGGGCAGAATCTAAACAATCTTGATTCCTGTCCCGGCCCCACGGGCAGGGCTCCTTCAATTGCAGGAAACGGCGCTTTGGCCGTGTTTATATGTTGGGAACAGCGGGGAGCGGTGGGGGGTTTGGGGGGGGAGGGGGCCGTGGATGGGCCGTGAGAAAAGATCTCTCTTTGGGACTGCGGTGGGGTCCATGGGGTGAGCAGTGGGGGGGTGGGGGGAACGCAAAACAATGAGTCAGAAAGAGAGGAAAAATGGAGAGGAATGGAAAAGGAAAACTTTGCCCCGAGGCAGCGATGGGAACGGCTGTGGGGGGCGGCGGCGGAGCTGTGGGGTGTGGGGGGTCCTATGGGTGCTTATGTTGTGTGGGCGCAGCGATGCACGGACCCTCACCCTGTTCCCAGGAGGAGCCACAGCTGGGACATGCAGAGCTGGATTCCACCGCAGGGCAGCGCGTCCCCCCCGTGGGGCACCGCCGCTCCCGTCCCAACCCGACCCACGGCTCTGCCCGAGGGATGCCCCACTGCCTCCTCCCCGCTCCGTGCCAACCATCCCCTGTTATTCCTGCAGGAAAATGCCCCCCAGAGCCCACGCTGGGGCCGTGCTGGTGCTGCTGAGCCTCTCTTTCGGCCTCGCTGCAGGTGAGTAGCCAAGGAATGGGAGCAGACCCACGGCCATTGGGAAACCCAAGCGCTCGCTCTGCTCAGCAGAAATGGAGCTGATCCTCAATCCCAGGATCCAGGCCGCGATCGCCCTCCCCTCCCCAAGCTTGGCTTGATGAGAACCACTCTGGGGCCATGGTGGGGCTGTGGGCGTCCCTCTGTCCCCCTGCTGCTGTCCGTCTGGCCGCCCTCGCGCTGAACCCGCTGCTTCCAGGAGGGATTTGTTCCGTGCCAAAAAGCAGAGCTAATTTGGGAGGAGGGAGTGCAGCAAAGGGTTGAGCCCGAAAACAACATCCCAGGGTCCGGGCCCAACATTCCCCGTGGGCAGGATGCGGCCCCGGCTGTGCTGCGCTGCCGGATGGCTTCACCCAACTCGTTGCATTCGGTGCGATGGAGGCACGGCCCCTGGTTGGCCCGAGGGCCTTTGGCACGGATATCAGTGACCCCAAAGCCAGCAGCATCCCAGTGCTGGATGGGTGGATGATGTCCACAACACTGTGATCCCCTCCGGTGTCTCCTGGTGACCCCAAGTTGGTCCAAGGGTCTTTGGCACGGATAACATAGACCCCAAACCAGCAGCACCCCAATGCTGAATGGACGATGTCCCCAACCCCGCGGTCCTCTCCAACGTCTCCTGGTGGTCCCAAGTTGGTCTGACACTCTTCGGCACGGACGGCGTCGACCCCAAAGCCGACAGCATCCCAGCCCTGGGTGGATGACGCCCCCAAGCCTTTGACAAACGCGATTCCCTCGTGCCTGCAGGTGAGCTGCAATGCGCGTGCGACGTTCCTCACTGTCCTGCGCCCACCTGCACCGGCACGGTGTGCTTCGTCAGCAAGAGGAAGGAGGCAGGGAGGGTCACCCAGCACAAAGGCTGCTTCTCGGATCACCTGCTGGAGAACTGCCAGTCCTCCGTGATGGAGCATTTCGGCACCCGGTGCTGCAACGCCAGCATGTGCAACGCCGAGCTGGAGATCTACCTGCGAGGTACGGGGCGCTGGGCTGCCCCCTCTGAGGAGCATTGGGGGATGTGGGGATGGGGTCTGTAGGTCGTCCCCCTCCTTGCTTAGGATTTCTAGGGTCCCTTTTTCCCATGTGGGATGGGTGCCCCCTCCTGGCGCGTCTCCTTGGGTGGTGCCTGCAGGGCTGCCATCCGTGAGTGACCCCAGTGCCACCCCACCTTCCCCACGTTGATCGTGAAGCGCCAAGACCTCCGTCCTCCCCATCCCAAACCCCAAGAACCAGGACCTCGGCCTTCTTCCACCCTTTCCATATCCACCCCCAAGCACCAAGAACTCCACCGTTCCCATTTCCAAGCACCAAGGCACCAAGACCTCCACCCTCTCCACGTCCAACCCCAAGCATCAGGTCCTCCCTAGGACCAACCCCACCCTCATCCTCCCACCCACCGTTCCTCCCCACCAGGAGAAGAAGCCCTGGGACAGCCTCCTTCCCTCTCCAACCTCCTCCTGCTGATCTTCATCCCGCTGCTGACGCTCCTCGTCCTCGTGGCTCTCACCATCCTCTTCCTCTGGAAGCTGGCCCAGCACCGCCGCAAGAGGCTGCTCCTCTTCAAGCACAGCGACCTGGGGGACACGGACCTGATGCTGAAGGCATCCATGGTGGGAGACAGCACGCTGGAGGTGGGGCAGCTCCTGGGGTCCCCGGGTGTCCCAGAGGCGTGGGGTGGCCGCCCATCTCACAGCGCCGCTGTCCCCGTTCCATAGGATTTGCTGAACGATGACTGCACCACGGGCAGTGGGTCAGGGCTGCCCTTCCTGGTCCAGCGCACGGTGGCCCGGCAGATCTCCCTCGTGGAGTGCGTGGGTGAGGAGAGCGGAGATCCAACCCCGTTTGCCAGAACCCCATAAAGACACGGACTTCTCCCCTGCCCCACTGGGAGACAGCGGTTGGGCGGTGGTTGTGTTGGCCAACATCAGGACACAACGCAAGAACGAAGGGCCCTCCATCGCCCCATAGCTATTCCACAGTGGGACCTGGCTGATGGTGGGAATGGTGTGCGGTTGGGCCACGCAGAGGGGGCTGGGCTGCCCCCTCTGAGGAGCACGGGGGATGTGGGGATGGGGTCTGTAGGTCGTCCCCCTCCTTGCTTAGGATTTCTAGGGTCGCTTTTTCCCATGTGGGATGGGTGCCCCCTCCTGGCGCGTCTCCTTGGGTGGTGCCTGCAGGGCTGCCATCCGTGAGTGACCCCAGTGCCCCCCAACGACCCCCAGTTCTCCTGCAGTTCTGTAGCGCTGGCACGGGGTCAGGGTTGGGGTCTGGAGGGGTCCGTGTGACGCAGCGCCGTGGTCGCGGCAGGCAAAGGGCGCTACGGCGAGGTGTGGCGAGGCGTTTGGCACGGGGAGAACGTGGCCGTCAAGATCTTCTCCTCCCGGGATGAGCAGTCGTGGTTCCGCGAGACCGAGATCTACAACACCGTGCTGCTGCGGCACGACAACATCCTGGGTGAGCGGGGCGCTGGGGGACGGCGACGGCACGGCGACGACGCATCCATCACCCGGCTCCTCTCCCCATCCAGGCTTCATCGCCTCCGATATGACCTCGAGGAACTCCAGCACCCAGCTGTGGCTCATCACCCACTACCACGAGAACGGCTCGCTCTACGACTACCTGCAGAGGACAACGCTGGATGTGGAGACCTGCCTGGGCTTGGCAGCCTCCATCATCTGCGGCCTCGTCCACCTCCACGTGGAGATCTTTGGCACGCAGGGCAAGCCTGCTATCGCTCACCGTGACCTGAAGAGCAGGAACATCCTGGTGAAGAGCAACCGGCAGTGCTGCATCGCCGACCTGGGTGAGAGCGCGCTCCATGGGGACGCACGGTGCCAGCCATCCGTCTGTGCATCCATCCAGACATCCCCACATCCATCCACTCCTCCATCCAACCGTCCACCCGTCCCTACATCCATCCATCCATACGTTCATCCCTCCCTCTGTCCATTCATCCATCCAACTCTCCATCCATCCAACCCTACATTCAACGCTACATCCATCCAACCTTATATCCAACCCTCCATCCATCCATCCATCCAATCCTGCATCCAACACTGCATCCACCCAATCCCACATCCCTCCATCCATCCATCCAACCCTACAACCAACCCTACATCCATCCAACCAATCCTCCCTCCAGCCATCCATACAACTCTCCATCCATCCAACTCTACATTCATCCAACCTCACACCTCTCCATCCAGCCCCCATCCAACCCCCCATCCCTCCATCCATCCCTCCATCCATCCAACCCTCCATCCAACTCTCCACTCCTCCATCCATACAACCCTACATTCAACCATCCATCCATCCATCCATCCCTCCCTCCATCCATCCAACTCTCCACTGCTCCATCCATACAACCCTACATCCATCCATCCATCCATCCATCCATCCATCCATCCATCCATCCATCCATCCCTCCACCCCTTCATCCCTCCATCCCTCCCTCCATCCCTTCCTCCATCCATCCTTCCATCCATCCATCCATCCATCCATCCATCCACCCCTCCATCCCTCCATCCACCCCTCCATCCCTCCATCCCTCCATCCCTCCCTCCACTCCTCCATCCCTCCATTTCTCCATCCCTCCATCCCTCCATCCCTCCATCCACCCCTCCATCTCTCCATCCCTCCCTCCACTCCTCCATCCCTCCATCCCTCCATTTCTCCATCCCTCCATCCCTCCATCCACCCCTCCATCCCTCCATCCCTCCATCC